AACAAAGTCTATGTATTCAAAATCATAGCATCAAGTCTAAGAGGGTTCATTCTCTTAGCACAACGTTACATGTGGAATGGACTTAGATAATCCACATGCTAGCCCGACTCAAACGGTAGTCGGTAAAGGCTTATCAAATCTGTTGATGGCTGAGGGTTTGCCAAAAATCCTATGAATGTTTGTGGGCCTATCAGCTGAATAGAGGTGAGCCATGACATGACGTTTGATAGCTTCTGCTCATGAGTAGCTTGTACCGTCGCTATAGTTTCTATTTGAAGCTCATCATCACACAGGTCCTGCGCGGTAAATCCCTTCAACCAAGGTGCCTTCAAAGCGAGTGCAGAGAACAACTCCTTTGTGATAAGGAATCAACAAATCCAAGATCAGAGTTATGATCCAAAGTATTTCGAAAATTCGTCCCAGTCAACCGTGAACTTTTGAAAACTTTGGAGGGGGTCTATAGACTGTCTAAAAATCACAATAGATAGCTGATTCGCCTATCAAACATCGATGATGGAAGTTATAATCTGACAACTTTCAGAAGGCTACAATTTGAAAACTTTCACGTAGATCGATGAAGGTTATAATCTGACGACCTTCACAATAACTGAGAAGCTCTAATCAACAACCTTCACAATCAACATCGGGAGTTATAATCTGACGACTCTCACATATCAAAGAGCTAAAGTAAAGATTACAAAATGTCGATCTTTGCAACGCTCTGACAGAAAGAGACTACAAATCGACGATCTCTTCAATCCAAGATGCAAGACTCATCCCTGCATCCCAGAGGTGAAGCACAAGTGGTCTCATTCCAGAGTCAAAGCTATGCAAATGCAGCTCCTAAATGCTGCCAAACACAGCTTCCAACCGCTGCCCAACGCAGCTTCCAACTATTACCAACGCAGCTTCCAACCGCTGCCTAACGCAGCTTCCAACTGCTACCAACGCAGCTTCCAACCGCTGCCCAATGCAGCTTCCAACTGCTGCTAACGTAGCTTCCAATCGCTGCCAAACGCAGCTTCTAACAGCTACCAACACAGGTTCTATGTGTTGTCCAACGCAACTTGCAAACACTGCGTCCAAACGCAGATTTTATTCCAGAATGCAGGACCTGCGTTTGACTCGTTCAAACACGAGTTGAACGGTTCCAGAAACCGTTTTCTCCCTATGATCTGAGGGATTTTCGCCCCCACTTAGGAGCGGATTAAGGGGGCAGTTACATCCCATTAGCCCCACAAAGGAGCAAATTAAGGGGGCGGTTACACCCCTTAATCCCTTATAAATAACTAAGAAATCAGCTTAGTTCAGATCCTGGACCTGAAGCTCGGATCCTGCTCCTTGGCAGCAAAGAAGAAATCCTTGGCTTGTCTAACCAATTACGGTTAAGATCAATCAACTCATCAAGAGTTCTAAAACTTACCACGCAAGTTTTCCACAACGTCAAATCGTGAGGAGAAGACCATGTTCTAGTGAATCAATACGTCGGATCATCAACGAAAAGCAAACTCAACATGAGCATTCGAGGGAGGCATCTCATCGCCACCGTGAAGAACCCAGAATTAAACAAAGGGGAGAATCCAGATCAATTCTCCTCTCTTTTGTTATCAAGAAATCTAATTGTAATTGAGATTAAAGGAATACAGATCAATTTTCCTTCGTTTCTTTTACCGCAAAATTTTTCCACAAACATTCCCCCATTTCTCCCAAAATCACAGCTTCAGCCAGCGAATTGAATCAGCCGACTTCCCCCCATTTCTCCTCCTCCATCAAGTTCCCCAACTCCGCCCACCACGAAAGCAGCATCGCCGCTGACAAAAACAGATCTTCCTTCGAGCTCAAGCGCTCTCTTGAGATCCTCATTTCTCCTCCTCTATCAAGCCATCTCCTTCCCCCAACTCAGGTAAGGATCACGGCCATCCATTCCTAGCTCGTTACAGGTTTTGATTAGGGTTTTTTTTTATTTTTTTGATTTCAAGCGTTTCAGCATCCTCTCCCCAACTCCGGCTCCAAGTCACCGCGGACGAGCTCGAGGTCGAAGGTACAGAGCTCTGTCGCTCTTTTTTTTAGGAATCAATCTATAATCCTTGAAAATTTGTTCTTTAATCCTGGAAAAACTTGTTCTTTTATCCTGGAAAATTTTGGTTGAAAGTACCAACTCCGGCCCCAAATTTGTTCTGAATTTGGCTTTTGATCTCTGTGCTTTTTGACTCTTAATATTATTAGTATTGTTGTAGAGCAGGGATATGAAACCCAAAAGCATTAACTCTGCATGTCCAATAAATTAGTTTGTTAGGTAGATTAACTCAAAAAAATTGAAAAGGGGAAAATGCAGTTTTTGGTTTAACAAAAGAGATGACCGTGAAGGATGTTTGTGTTCTTTTGGGTAATTATGTTGAAAAGGAACTTGACACTATACGAAGAAGCTATAGATGGACAACAACGGGTCTAATGCATTTTGAAAAGGAATCTGTGGAATATTGTTGTAGAGTAGTTAATATGCATCGCCACCAACAAAACATACACACCCAAAAAAAAAGGATGCAGGCTTTTGATCTCTGTGCTTTTTGAAAAGGAATGTGTGGAATATTGTTGTAGGGTAGTTAATAAGCATCGCCACCAACAAAACATACACATTGATGAACGTTGGTTATGATTTTATATAACAAATTCCTGTCTAGATAAGTTAATGAAGTGAGAGCACAATGGTATGTTCCAATTTAAGTGTTCAGTGCGTAGGATAAATAAGTTTGATTGAGCACAATGGTATTGGGTATTAATTTTATATAATTACTTTTTTAACTTTGCTTGCTAACTTTAGGTTGTAAAAATTTTGTTTACCCTCCAACCTGGGGTATTTTCAGGTTATCCATGGCTAGAAAAAGTTTTTATGTTGTGAAGAGAGGTCGACGATGTGGTATTTTTACTAATTGGGAAGAATGCAAATCTCAAGTAGATAAGTTCCCAAATGCCTCCTACAAAGGGTATGCAACATACGAAGAGGCTTTGATTGAATGGGAGAAGCATACACTCGCTCCCGATTTAGCATCCAGCTCGAGGCCTGTCCAGACATCTGTTTATGCTCAAGAACAAAGATATCCAGTGAGCCATAATCTAGATGTGGACAAGGAAAAACTTGGGGAAACTTTTATTTTCTCTATCTATGCTTTTGTATTAGGTTCATTGTTTACAATATTAGTATTTCTAGTTTTTCTCTATCTATGCTTTTGTATTAGGTTCATTGTTTACAATATTAGTATTTCTAGTATGTATCGTTGCGGTATTTGTTGGTTTGTTTACAATATTAGTATTTCTAGTATGTATCGTTGCGGTATTTGTTGGTTTCTCCATTGCAAAAAACATATGATGTAATTTGTATTAGTATTTCTAGTGTTTATCTTTAGTAATGTTCCCTTCTTTCTTTTTTGTTTTATGATGGCAGAGTACCTCTCTCTATTTAGTGTTTATCTTTAGTAATGTTCCCTTCTTTCTTTTTTGTTTTATGATGGCAGAGTACCTCTCTCTATTGAGTACCTCTCTCTATTGAGTCAAGATTAATTCTTTTTTGTTTTATGATGGCAGAGTACCTCTCTCTATTGAGTACCTCTCTCTATTGAGTCAAGATTAATATTCTTTGTTCAGGAGATATGAAGCTATCTTGGGTTTACTCGAACAGCATGTAAAAGATCCCCAAGCTCATGTTTATACATTTCAACAGCAGTTATAAATGAGGACCCACATTAATATTTGATCCGTTGTAATTGAGCTTGAAAGGGCTGAATATAACGAGCCACACACTGGGTATAGGAAATGCAAGCACAGGATTGAGCTGTCACTCTGTACATTCTCTTATAAGCAGGGGGAAAAAAACCATTATCCTTTCTTTCCTTTTTTTTTTCCTTCTTTTTTTTTCCTTGAAACAGATCGCAAATACCGCAGCAAGCATTCATAGATATCAAAATGGCCAGGAGTTCTCGTGCGATTGCATAACATTTAGGGAGTTGCTGATGGGGGAAGTGGTATGGTTGTCATCCTTTTCCTTCCAAGGACAGATGCCCTCTCCAGCCTCGACCCACCTTCTCTCCATTTCTTGAAAGCTACCATTGATGACCGAGCAGCGTCAAACACTTCAAGAATGGAAAAAATATGTATAGCTCCATCAGAGAATTACCCAGTAAAGAACATGAGTCATGGAACAAGTTATCAGATAATAGACAAAAACTGATGTCTAGTATAAACAAAAACTGATGTCAAGATTAACAAAAGTACATACATAAAACCCAACCACTTCTCACAAACTGATATCAAAAGCATTAACCACATGGAATAACAAGAATACATACATAAAACCCACCACTTACTCACAAACTATTGTCTAGTATAACAAAAGTACATACATAAAACCCAACAACTTCTCACAAACTGATATCAAAAGCATTAACCACATGGAATAACAAGAGTACATACATAAAACCCACCACTTACTCACAAACTGATGTCTAGTATAACAAAAGTACATACATAAAACCCAACCACTTACTCACAAATTGATGTCTAGTATAACAAAACTTACACACTCATGCACGTTAACCTAAAGTTCAATGCATTTAGAACGATACTTTAATACCAAACAAGGCCATAAGCTGAGAAACATAGTTTAGTTACAACAGATATTATACATCAAGTAGGAGACAACAAATTCCTGCATCTATCTGCTGAAAACATCACGTCTGTAATTTTCATTCTTGAATACAGTACCTGCAAGGAGCGTGCAACAAGTATACATCAGATGTAATCTAATTTGTAGATGTAATCTGAAACAGAAGGTAACAATTGGATGATGAGCATGTCATTAAAATGACCAATAGATATCATAGTACCCATATGCACAAAATCTGGCAAAATAGAAGCATGTAGAAGACCGTCTTCATAGGAGCCCATCATCCCCATCTTCACTTGAACGGATTTGTGAGTGCCGGACAATTTCGTTTATCATGTGATTAGCCTACTTTACCACACCCGTGGCAACGTCTATCTTTTTTATTTTTTGCTCTAGCCATTGCTTTCTCTTTTCCTCCCTTCAACCTTTTGCCGCACCCTTTTGCTCGCACTTGATCGGGTTCATTGAAACTATTTTGAAAAGTATAAGAATCTTGCACACTAGTACCATCATCCATTAAATTACCACTTATTTGATTATTTTTCTCAGTGAAGCTCTTTGCAACCGTGCGGCCACTAACTATGTGGCTACTAATGAATTGGTCGATTTGCTCATTAATGATACGCACTCCATCGGTAAACATCTTCCTCGTTTCTTCACATACAAGGGACTTGTCAACTAATTCCAAAGATGATTGGATAAATTGACTCCGTGTTAAAAGATAAGAATTGTCGGGGTTTATCTGCATACCTTTATCATCAACCACTGTCCCCGATTTTGCAGACTTAGTCCACCTCTTTAAGATGTATTTATCGGGCAATATTTCAGCATCAAATTTCATCAAGTAGGAGATAATGTGAGTACATACGATTCCGGCGCTTTCAAACTTTTTACAACTACAATAAACCAAATCCAAGTCCTTGTCATAAACGATTTCGCGGACTTTGCTTGTTGCGAGCTTCTTTCTTTGAATTTGATACACACGGCAATTGTTGGTTTCCCTAACAAACTGCAACTTGTAGTTAAAGTGTCACACACTTCAGCCTCAAACTTGAAATACATCTCATTAGTGTAAATATCAACCATTTGCTCCAAAAAGTCATGATTTATTCTAAGTTTAGGTTTCTCAATCAAGTCTTTGTGATCGGCCATCAACTCCTCGTGACGTTGGCGCACTAGTTCCCTGCCAAACTGTATCATAAAATCCACCAATGAATTATTCTTCGAAACAAATTTCTTGAAGAATGCATGTCCACTTTCTGATCGTTGGGTACTTGACATGTCTGCTGAGAAAATGTGATTAACATATGCAGGAATCCATCTTGACCGAAGTTCATATTGGTCTTGCAACCACTTGTTTCCTTCTAACCCACTTTTCTTAATCAGACTTTCCCATTGTAAATCAAATTCTTCAGGAGTCTCTGATTTCCAAATGCAAGCCGAGAACTCACTTTTATAAATACTATACTTCACTGCATCAATTTTCTCAGAAAACTTCATTAATATATGCCAACTACAATACCTGTCAAAAGAATTAAATAAAGTGTTAAAAAGAAAGACTATGCATATAAATATTTTTAATAATATACACAAACTATAATACCTGTGAAAAGTATTTGGAAGAACAAGAGGGAATGCCTTAGTCATCGCTGGGTCTTGATCGGTAATAATCATCTTCGGGTACCACCAGGCATACTTTCCAAAAATTGATTAAATAACCACACAAAATCATCAACGCTCTCATGATTCAAAAATCCACAAGTAAAAACAATTGTTTGACCATGATTGTTAACCCCCATTATTGGTGCAAATATAAGGCCATAACGAATAGTGTTGTAAGTAGTATCAAAGATTACAACATCACCGAAAAATTTGTAAGCCCGCCTTGATCTTGCATCAGACCAAAAACAACGAGTAATCTTTTGTTCCTCATCGGCCTCAATTTGAAAAGTAAATGCGGGATTCTTTCCTTGTTCTAATTTTAAATATTCATAAAACATTTCACCATCATGCCCCTTCAAATCAGCCCGTATATCCCTTTCATGATTATACAAATCTTTTTGAGTGCACCTAATATTTTCTATACCTCCTGATTGTACTCCAAGAAAACTGAATTGTTGATGCTGAGGTATATTCACCATGGATAACTGTTTAGTTAGAGACTTTGTTGCGGCTGAAACGTTACGATGGGATCTTAAAGATGAACCTTTGATGGTGTTAATAGTGGGTGACTGTGCTCCTCATTAAAAACAGTAACAATGTATTTTCCGGAGTTTGATTTCAAAACAGCAATTTTGGCAGTACAATCCTCAGCTAAGCTTTCCCGACGTCTTTTCTTTCCAACATCCGCGATTTTTAAAGATTTTCCTTGTTTAAAACAAACATATTCATTCCTTCTTATTTCACAACTTCCCGGCTCTTTCTGTGTAGTCCAAGACCTTACACTAAACCCAGCTGCTTTAGCATAAGCATTATAGAATGTCAAAACATCATCTATTGTGTCAAATTCTTGCCCTTTTTTTTTGGCCTCAACTCATCTGAAACTTGAGGAGTATATATCAAATCATCGTCGTCCAAGTTTACTTCATTAGCTTCAGTGCCCAAGTTATCCATTCTGTAATTAACCATGTTAAAAATATATGCAGATTAAGATGCAGCAAGTATTGCATACTAACAGGTTTAATTTTGATGTGGGTGATTAAGACATTAATCTCTCAACTGTAGAACAATAATGAAGAAAAAAATAATTCAAATTACTTTCAGAACATTTTTATGAATAATTCATTGGTGGATTTTATGTAATAATGTAATTTGACAAGTGGACACTAGCTTTATAGGAAAGCCCTATTTTCTATTATTATAAGTGGTAATTAAACGGGTGTGAAAAATCAAGCATAGGCTTAAGGTGCACCATATTATATAGGACTAGCAAGTTTTTTTTTATCTCAACAAATTGAAACTGTACTTCATGATGCTTTGGATCAAGGCCGGTGAGAGACAAAATAACAAATATGTCCAAAAGCTAGGGTTAATTGTGGATAGACCGTCTGTATTATCGCCAAATTGTGATAGAACTCATGTAGTTCTATTGTTGTCGATAGACTCCAGAGTAAATTTTTTGAGTCTTTCGTGCTCAGGTGGTTTATTTGTACAAAAACTCTCTTCTCTAAGTATAAAAGAGAACAAATTTACTCACTGCTAATAATATCAAGAGTCAAAAAGCACAGAGATCAAAAGCATCTGTATCAAGAGAACAAATTTTCCAGGATTATAGATTGATTCCTAAAAAAAGACCGACAGAGCTCTGTACCTTCGACCACGAGCTCGTCCGCGGTGACTTGGAGCCGGAGTTGGGGAGAGGACGCTGAAACGCCTGAAATCAAAAAAAAAATCAAAAAAAAACCCTAATCAAAACCTGTAACGAGCTAGGAATGGATGGCCATGATCCTTACCTGAGTTGGGGGAAGTAGGTGGCTTAATGGAGGAGGAGAAATGAGGATCTCGAAAGAGCGCTCGAGCTCGAAGGAAGATTGGTTTTTGTCAGCGGCGATGCTGCTTTTGTGGTGGGCAGAGTTAGGGAACTTGACGGAGGAGGAGAAATGGGGGAAGTCGGCTGATTCAATTCGCTGGCTGAAGCTGTGATTTTGGGAGAAATGGGGGAAGTCGGAGAGGGTTCATGAGCTCGAGAACTGATTCAATGCGCTGTATGCTTTTTGATTTCGTCATCGCCAATTTTTCAAAAAAAACCCTGCTTTAACAAACACGAGCTCGAGATTCGTGATTGCTTTTGTCGGGTGTTTTTTTCAGAAAACACCTTGCTTTTGACGAGAACAGAGCTGATGCGTACGCATCAGTGCGCATGGGAAATCCTTTGTAGTAATATATATATAGTGTTTTAATATATATATATATATATATATATATAAAAATTAATTTAATTTATATATATATATTAGTATATATATATATATATATATATATACTATATATATATATATATATAAATATATATATATATATATATATATATATATATTATATATTTGTGCACAGTGTTTAGTGATATTATATATATAATATATATATATATATAATATAATATATATTATATATATATATTATATATATTATTATATATTATATATTATATTATATATATTATATATATATATATATATATCATATATAGTATTATATATATTTGTGCACAGTGTATTAGTGATATATATATTATATATATATATATATATATATATATATATATATTTGTGCACAGCTGTATTAGTGATATATATATATATATATATATATATATATATATATATATATATATAATATATATATATATATAAGCATTTTATTTAAAAATGGAAAAGAAAATATGAATAATTTGATCATTTAGTTTATATTTCAGCAAAGTTTGTCATTAGTTACGCAAAGTAAACATTCTTTTGTTTGATATTGATCCAAACCAATCATAAATCGTTAGAATATAAAAATATAACTTTCAACTCTCAGTATAACTTTGGAGTTTTGGTATAATTCATTAGAGTGACATAACTATGGCATCAGAGCAACCCAAGTTCAAATTCCATCTACCATTATTAGTTAAAAGCAGAATTTCTAAAAATTGACACCGCATTGTGAATTTAGGTTTCAGCTCATTAAAAAAGTGCGTTCAACATGCGGGAGCATGTTAGAATATAAAAAAATTTGGACTCGTGCAGTTTTTAGCATGAGTCCAAATATTACTCCTGGTCGTGATGGTTACTCTATGATGTTCTATCAGTCTTTCTGGGATCTGATCAAATCAGATCTTATTTTTCTTATGAAATATTTTTAGAAGGACCCATCATCTCTATACAAAGTGAATAAAGTATTTGTCACGCTTATTCCCAAGCTTAGAGAGAGCTCATCAGTGAAAGATTACAGGCTAATCAGCCTAATCAATTGTATCTTCAAAATTTTAACAAAAGTTCTTGCAAATAGGTTATCCCCTCTTATGCCACCAACACAATCTGCGTTTCAAGCTGGGAAATTAACTTTGGATTCTATTCTTATTGCAAACAAAATAATTCATTTTTGTTCCAAAAGGAAAAGGGAGGTTGCTATACTCAAACTTGATATTGCTAAGGCTTTTGAATCAATATTAGTCTTTCCTTATCAACCTACTCAAAGCAAGGGGTTTTAGTAATAAATGGTGCTCATGGATTCATCACATCATTTCATCCTCCAATTGCGCAATACTGGTAAATGGCTCTCCATCAAAATTCTTTTCTTGTAAAAGAGGCCTTAAACAAGGAGATCCCCTATCTCCTATGCTCTTCAACATTACAACTGATGTCCTATCTAAAATGATTATGAATAATGTGGAGGAAGGTTTGCTATCAAATATGGAATTTAAGGAACCCATAAACCAAATTTGGATCCTTCAGTTTGCGGATGATACATTGCTCTTTGTTAAAAGCTCACCAAGAGACATAAACATCCTTAAAATAATCCTATACATTTTTGAAGAACTGGCTGGTTTGGGAATTAATTATTCTAAATCCTCTCTTATCTACTTTGGAAAAATTACTACCAGAGGTCAAAATCTAACTTCTGCTCTCAATTGTAAATTGGATTATCTTCCTATCAAGTATATGGGATTACCTCTGAAATATGGCACTCTTTCTAAATCTGATTGGCAACCAATTCTGGACAATCTACACAAAAAATTGGCTTCTTGAAAAAGTAATTGTCTATCTTTTGGTGGAAGGCTCGTTTTACTGAATTCAGTGCTTACCGCAATACCTCTATACTTCATGTCATTCTCCAAGCTTCCATAACGGTTAATCAATGAAGTAGACAAAATTCGAAGAAGCTTCCTTTGGTCTGGTAAGGCAGAGGACAACTCTTTCAAATGTCTGGTTAATTAGAAAAATGTATGTCTAATCAAATCTGAAGGTGGTTTGGGAGTTAAGGATATTAATATCTTCATTATATCCTTACTATCCAAATGGTTATGGAAATGTTTTGACAGAGAATCATTAGTAGGTTCCTCCATCAACTGTACTTTAAAAGAGGTGAAATGTTACAAATCAACTCGGTAATGCATCCCATTCTCCCTTTTGGAATATGACCCTCTCCATCAAAAATGCCTTTTTCATAATATATCTTGGACACTTGGTAAAGGTGATAAGATAAGATTTTGGGAAGATAAATGGCTTAGTTGCAACACTTTAGCTAGTCTCTTTCCTTCATTATATGAGCTTTCATTCTCTTCAAATGTTTCCATACATAGCCAAGGCATTCTACATGATCATCTATGTCACTGGCGATCCTTATTGAAAAGAAGCATTTCCTCTATATCTATATCCTCTAAAACAGATCTCTTAAAGTTAATTGGTTCTAGAAGTATGTCATATATACCAGATAAATAACATTAGTCTCTTATAGCAAATGGAGTTTACTCGGTCAAGTCATTATATACCTTCTTAAATTCCAGATGAATATTATCTCTATATTTTAAGCTAACTTGGAATTCAATTCTCCTAAGAAAAGTTCGGATCTTCACTTGGTTATTGTCTTTAGATAGACTGCATACTAAAGATAACCTCACTACTAAAGGTTGGACAGGAGATTCAACATGTCCATTGTGTAGATTGTACTTAGAACAAGAGATCATATTT